GTTGGGGAGCGCCTGTTCTAGGAGAGACTGACCTTTCCATTGAAGGTGCGTGATCAGCAGGGCCCCCTGGGAGTCACTATCCACCCAGATGAGATCCGTGTCATCCTGATCGTTATACGCAAAGTAATACCCCTCCCCCGAGACCGCAATCTCAAAGTTGTATTTCCCCTCAAAAACATCCGACACGTTCGGCGCGTGAACCGCAATGTAAACATCCTCCGTGGCCGTGAAGTTGAAATTGACAGCCCCCTCCACAAACGGCAACATATGCTGAGTCGACATGTCCGCCAACGGTCCGGGAGCCTGATACTCGGCCGACTTTGACACAAAAAGCGTCAACTGCGGCGGTTCCATCTCTTTCGTCTTGTCCGGTTCGAGAGCAGTCGGTTGTTTGCAAGTGTTGACCGAGATGTAGATCGTCCTGCTGGAAGCCTGCCTCTCTCCCAACAGCCCCTCCTCTTCTTGTTCACCTTCACCCTCACCTCTCAACTCCAACCCCCCCCCCCCTTCCCGCCCAGCAAGAACCGCCAAAGGAAACCAAAACCTCGTCGTGCTCCCCTCCTCCAAGTCCATAGGCGTAGGGTCCGTGTTCTCCAGCTTCAACAACCCGTCCGCTGCCCGCCCAATGATGCTCCTGTCGAACCCTATGAAATCCGGCTCATACATCGGCCCGCCCGCCGGGAGGTTGGGCGTAAAATCGAGGTCGTCATCGAATACAATCGGTAACAGCCGCGGCGGCCGGTCGAGCTCGGCAACGGCAAAGTGCGGCGAAAAGAGGCTCCAATACAACAAAACCAACAAGCAAGACGCAGCAACCGAAGCCGCCAACCGTGACTGCAACGGGCTCAGGTGCATCGCGCAGCAAAAGTATCCCCTCGATGATTGGCAAAAGTTCATTGTTTGTTTGGGCTGTTGTTGTGAAAATATTCCCCGTCTCCGGCGTGGTGGTTGATCTTCGAATGCGCACCCAGAGCAGAGTAGACAGGCCCCTGTAGGTAGGTGACCGAGGGAGGCCGCCCGGTTTATCGTAACATGCTACTACTCTGCAAAAGGGATCGTATAGATTCGAAAATGAGCAGCGTGTTTGTGAGGGAGAAGAAATCGCTCGTACTTTTCGTCAATCGTCGGGTGGTTCGTCGTGGAAAAAAAGGTTCGGATGTGTCTGTGGTGGTGTAAGTGCAGATAGACAACTGGAGCATCAGCAGCCGTGTCCAAAGGGTTGATTGATGGTTGCCGCCTCGGCAGCCCGGGCCCTTGCAGTGGCACCAAGGAACGGGCTGCCAAGAACCCGATGAGAATTGGGACAGGGGGCGATCCCACAGAATTACGTATCCTTTCACATGAAACACTGAACCAAAAAAGGTCCATGCTCACCATGTCGATCTATCCAAAGGATGATGCCATACACGATACACTCCAATAAATCCCCCCCCCCTTTTTTTTTTTTTTTAAAAAAAAAAAAAAAAGAAAAAAAAGGCGGCCGTAGTGTAACCCCTCTCTCTTCTCATCACTCCTCCCTGCTCCATCCCCCCTCCTATTCAGCGTACATACACAGTAAAATCCAAACAGCGCGCACGAATCTATTCCGGAAAAATTGACCAATCCCGAAAGGAAAATCCCACATAAAGGTTGAATCCGTGAGCACCAGTGTACCTAACCCCTCCCTTGAACCCTAGAAGATACCCTCCCATCCCAAGCCACCATGCATGTGTCTATCATGTCGTCTGGAGTTTCCAACCTTGCCGCCGATCCGCGTGGCCTGCGTCGTAAATCATGTCCAACGTCAAGAAGGAAACGGGCATCTGAATGCTTTTTGTTGTTTCACTTATCTCCTCGAAGCTAGCTAGACCCCCACGCAAAGCCAAGTAGATATCTGCTTTGCACTTTCACAGGAGAGGTCCAGCAACCGATAAGACCCATTTACTCGGTGTGGAGATCGGCCTTCGCGCGGAGGCCGCTGGCGGTGGAGCCAGAGGTCTGGAAGTGGCGGGAGAGGGTAGGGGCGAGGAAGGAGCGGAAGATGATCTCGGCACCCCTGATGTTGTGGTTAGTTTTGGGTAGATGCGGAAGCAAGGGGAGGCAGCAGCTTACTTGAAGGAAGGGAGAGAGAGCCAGAGAAGGAAGATGAACTTGAAGGTATAATAGAAAGGAACCCAGTAGACGACGCTGATGAAGCTCTCCAGGACGCTGGAATTGGTTAGTATCAATGTGTTTTTCGGAGCCCGAGTTCTTGGGCATCAAACGAAAGGCCTTACGTGAAGAAAGAGAAGACAACCCAGTACTGCACAAGATGTCAGTCATTGATACCAAAACTTTCAGCACACCATAGACACTTACGGTCAACCATTGGGTATCATCGTGCTTGTCGGCAGAAAACAAGGCACCGAGGGAGTAGTAGCCGGGGATGACAAAGCCGGCGATGTTGGTCAGGAGCTGACCGCCGAGGTTGAGGAGGATGAGGAAGAAGTAGAGGGCGACGGAGCCAAGGACAGCGTAGGCCTTGGGGACACCGGTTTGCTTCTCGAGGTTGATGAGAACGGGGTACTTGGAGAGCTGCGAGACGGTGGTGTGAGTACAAGCACGAGGCGCAAGGCAACAACAATGTGAGGGGATTCGGATTCGGGCAAAGACGGAAACGCACCTCCTTGTCGAGCTGGCCAACGTAGACCTGGGCCTTATCCTGGGGGGAAGACATTGTTGCGAGTTGGTATAATGCGATCGTTGAAGATGCTGCTAGCCGGTGTGGATTGTCAGAAGATATTCGGAAGAAGGACGCTCGAGGTTTTAAGGGGCCAGACTCGCAGGTCTGAGGTTGGGCACTGCCCGAGTGGGGAGTGCTTCAGGAGAGTAGGAACAGGAGAAGGCCCGGCAATTTCGGCGGGGGAGCTCTGGCTGGGCCACGAGCTCGTCGCACGCCTAAAAATACCCTTTTGGATCTTGACAAGGCCGGGGAGGGCAGGGAGGAAGAATGAGGGGCTTACCTGGTACTTTTGTTGTGAAAAAAAAAGTTGAGTGAGGTGCTAGTGATGGGCTATGTTGCAAGAGCAAAAGTGTGTTTTTCTGTAACTGTGTGTCGGGAGGTTGGGAGCTCAGGAGGTGAGAGGAGCCGATTTGTTATCAGAATGGAGCCGAACGACGGTGGGAGGGTGGATGCAAGGTGAGCAATGACGACTGATACGTGTGCACTTGGCAGCTCTCTTATCTTGTTTTCAAACTCGAGTCCGAAGGAGGGGTAGTCACGTGCTCTCTTTCATAGAAGTTACAGTCGTATAGGCTATCTCCACCTCTGCTGACATCCAATTCTCTGGTTTCGTGGTGTAGTTGGTTATCACGTCAGTCTAACACACTGAAGGTCTCCAGTTCGAGCCTGGACGAAATCAATCTCATATCCTTTTTGGCATTTCTGGTTCAGTCATTTCCAGTTCAGATCTTATCTTTTTATCTTGCTCAGACATTTGGATCTGACCTTTCCCATGACCACGCTGTGATGCGCGTCTGCACACACGGCCCGTTGACACAGACAGCAGGTGACAGTGATTGACTGATGTATGGAAAGAGACAATATGTGCCTAATCGAGGTTATTATCAGCTCAACGCGAACCGTGTCTACCAAGTCTAAAATTCCAGGCATTGGTCTTCTGAAGTATACAGCTGCATACTTGCTCGCTTCTTGATGTGCACAGCTACCCGATAGATATTGAGAAACACTGTTCAGGCCACCGATGAAAGATATCCCAGATCAGAAGAGATACACTACGAGACGGTATACAACTCATGATATCAGCAGCATGTCTGTCTGCCATTGTTTTCATCTCAAAGACGACGTTGTTGTTTCTGTCGAGGTCGTGAAGCGAGCCAATGGCACAGCGTCAGCCAGCAATGTGGGGGGTGGATGATGGGTGGTGGTACGTGCGGGGAGGATGACCACAAGGAGGCTGGAGCGCATTGCCCCGAGCAGCGCCTGTGTTTGTTGATTTCTTTCTCTCCTCATCCCGTGGAAAATGCGCAAGACTTGCTGAGCACCAACGCCGCTTACCGCGCTGCACGTTCCGCTCCACCTGCACCTGCACCGCGCCGAACAGACAACCTCCATATCGAATAGATCGAGTATCGCGTATCCAGGTCGCCTTTGCGTCCATCATATCTCCATTGTCGCAACCAGGCAGGGTGTCCATCTTGGTGTTTTGAGCTAGCTAGCCGACAGACCAAAGCAAAGCAAAGCATTGCCTGTCGACGAAAGCGGTGGCAATGGACTCGACCCACGGTAAGGGACCCATTTATTATTAGTATTTGTTTATTCTGTTTTGTTCAATCGTCAGAGTCAAAATTCGTTCTGTTCTAGGACTCGCAAATTAAATCCCTTCTCCTTTCTATATCCAGATCCTCTGTCGCTTGCCAAGGCGAGAAAGCGGCCACGGTCGCGAGCCTCAACAGCATCCATGCATAGTCACACAACACAGCCCAATATCGAGCATTCTTTTGCCGACAGTCAAGATGTCTACGGTTCCTCGCAGTGGATGCCGGCCAGCGACCACCAGCACACCCACGGCCTGCCACAGCTGACCCCCGAGGACCTGCTGCTGGCGTCACAGCTCCAGACCGGCCGTGACTACGCCAACGAGCCACCACTCAACGCCTCGATGCAGAGCGTCGCCTTCCACCACAGCCACAGCATGAGCCGCCAGTCCATCTCTGCCGACTCCTTTGCCGGCAACACCAGCTTCGACGACAGCCAGATGTTGGACCGTGACGGGAACGACGACGGGGACTCGTTCAGCGGCTTGCAGCCACCTGCCAAACCAGGGTCGAGGTCGAGCGCAAACAACGAGATGGAGATGAGGCAGCTGTTCAATGCCAGCAAGCACCGCACCTTGCAGGACGTCGCCCTGGAGCTGCATGGAAACGAGAGGGGCCCAAACTCGGAGCGGACAAGACAGGTGTTCGCGATGCTTTGGTATGCACGCACTGGGCTTTAGCATTGATGATACTCGACGACTGACAGCGGTAGGATCAACTCGGTGTGCTCCAAGGGGAAGGGCTCGGTACCAAGGGGGCGCGTGTATGCCAACTACGCGTCGCGTTGTGCCACGGAGAGGATCACGGTCTTGAACCCTGCCAGCTTTGGGAAGCTGGTCAGAGTTCTCTTTCCTGGGCTGAAGACAAGGCGATTGGGGGTGCGCGGAGAGTCAAAGTATCACTATGTTGGCTTTAGCCTCAAAGAAGAGCTTCCCGAGCCAGAGGCTGTTAACACACAACAAACGGTACCTCTAGGTGACAATATGTCTTTCACGCAAAACTTCAAGTCAGTTTTCACCCCCCCTTTCACTTTCACAAGGCGGCCGTCCACCTAACCAAATCCACAGCACGCTGCCCAACAACGACGTGTCGACGAGATCAGAACGAACAGCGTTTCCCACGCCAGATCTCGGGAGTCAACCAGGACTCAAGGTTCCTCGGTCTCGCGAGTTCCAGCACAGTCTCTACAACCAACCGCAGGTGTCCAGCTTCGACCAACTGCAACGGACGATGGACAAGACGGCGAAACGGCTCAAATTCTCCACCGACACGGGCGAGGCCTTTAAACAATCAGATCCGCTCATACTTCCTAGGATCGAACCATTTTTACCAAGCGGGACCGATGCGGACGCCGCCAAGTCTCTCACGGCCCTGTATCGATCACACTGCACATCTCTTGTCGAATGTATCCGTTACTGCAAGGAAAAGACGTTTTTCCATCTTTTTACTTCGTTTCAGGGCACCCTCACCATGCCCGTCCAGAAGCTCTTTTCACACCCGGCCATCGCGCCATGGATCGAGGAATGCGACTTTATCTTGTACCAGCGCATGATGCGGATAGTCTCAGGCCTCACGTTGCAAGTGGTCCCCAAGCCCGTCCTCGACACGCTGAGGAGCATATCCGAGAGGCTCGTTCGTCACATTAGAGAGTCGTTCCACGGCCAACCGGCCCATGTATTACGAGCCAAGGAGGCGCCCGCCGCCCTCTTTGCCGGCCTTCTCGACCGGGCCTTGCGAGTCAACCTCACGGCCCACGCGGCGGCAAACATGCTGTCGAACCCGGCAAACCGAGACCTGATGTACGCGGAGTTCATCTCGATGATTAACGTTCGCAAGATTTCCGAGAGCATACCGTCGCGGGGCATGGACGACGTGGTGAATGTGTTGCTGACGGAGATGAGGCACCTGCTGGATCCGGTGAATGTCCCCTGGGATATTGAGTGTCTGACTGTTCACGGGGATGTGCCTCCGCAATCGAGGCAGTCGCAGGAAGCTGTTCAGGATGACACGAGCGCTTCTAATGTGTTGGATCGGTGGGTTAACTTCCTGAGGTCTTTGCCGGCGAGGTTTCCGTATGCGTCGGCGACGGATGTTGTTTGGTGTGCGCAGCGGTTGGGGACGGCGCTGATGAGGGATTTGACGATTGGGCAGGGGAAGAGCTTTGGGAGCTGGTGGGTGACGAAATGCTGGCTGGATGAGATGGTGGAGTTTATGGCTGAGCAAGGGGGGTTTATGCAGCAGAGGGGGTCGGGGGGATTGGGGGTTGGTTTGGTTGGGGATGGGCGTGGGGGGCTGAGTGTGGCTAAACGGGGACAACAGCAGAATATTGGAGGAGGAGGGTCGAGGTATAGCAGTGGGAGTGATGATTTTCATCATTTGGGGGGGAGGAATGGTGGGGGGGAGCATGATGGGTTGTTGGGTGGGGGGCAGCCGGATAGGGCTGTTTTTCCTAGTGGTCCCGGGACAGGAGGAGGGGGCCAGGGAGGGCAGCAGAATCCGGATGATAGTGGGATTGGGATTAGGACGCCGGGCCTCTCTCACATAGTTGCGGGCCGAGGG